GGAGGGGATGTGGTTTCACATGCTGCCTGAATCCCGCGGATGGGACTTGTTTGGGTGGCCTTGAAATCCAATAGTCATAAAAGGCCCATAGTTCCCCACCCCTGATCTAGAAGAATCTTGCTTGGGCAAGATTTTCATGAATGATCTTCCACAAATTTTAAAGTACTTCCAATTATTACAGTATTTTGTTCCTGTTTCCACCTCTAATGTTCTGCGAATTCAGATAGTGTTCTTATAGCCTTCAAAAATAGTTTCCAGGAATTCTTGAAGAGGAAAGCCATAGCATTTCAGATTGGCCAATGTTTATCTTCACACAGCTCACATTTCTTTCTTCTCTGTCATGGGATGCAAGAAAAAGGCCACACTTTTAAACACAAAAGTCTGGCCAGCTGGTTTTCTTCATTCACCAGAATGCCCACATTTCCATAAAAGATGCCAGCTCTCCTGTTGATACCAATACCATCCTGGTATTTATGTATCCTTCTTCCATGTCTTTCCCTGGCACATGTCATCTGGTTTTTCCTCAAAAGTTCATCTAACTCGCAACATCACTGAAATGCATTTTCCTTCCTAGTAGGTGGTCCTTTTATACTGTCATTTTTCAACAAGCTAATTCTTTTATGCTCTCAACTAGATTTCCCTCCTTTTTTCATTTGCGTATTCAGCCAGCTTCCAAAACGTTTTGTTGTGCTTATACTACATAAATGGATGACTTGGAGGACAGAATGGACTGGAACAATGCAAGTTTTAGTGCATTCTTGTTTGAATAGAAGAGAATACCTGTAGTTCAGAGTTGAACTGTGGACTTCTTGGTGTTCCCTGAGCTTGTTAGTTTGCTTGCAGATCAGAGGTGGTATTCAGCAGGTTCTGAGCAGTTTTGGAGAACCGGTAGCAGAAATTTTGAGTAGTTCGGAGAACCGGTAAATACCACCTCTGACTGGCCCCACCCCCATCTATTCTCTGCCTCCCGAGTCCCAGCTGATGAGGAGGAAATGGGGATTTTGCAGTAACCTTCCCTTGGAGTGGGGAGGGAATGGAGATTTTACAGTATCCTTCCCCTGGAGTGGGATGGGAAGCAGAGGTGGGTTTCAGCAGGTTCTGACCAGTTCTGGAGAACCGGTAGCGGAAATTTTGAGTATTCAGAGAATTGGTAGTAAAAATTCTGACTGGCCCCGCCCCCATCTATTCTCTTCCTTTCAAGTCCCAGCTGATTGGGAGGAAATGGGGATTTTGCAACCTTCCCCTGGAGTGGGGTGGGAATGGAGATTTTACAGTATCCTTCCCCTGCCAGGCCCACCAAGGCATGTCACGCCCACCAAGCCATGCCCACAGAACTGGTAGTAAAAATTTTTGAATCCCACCACTGTTGCAGATGTTTCATTTCCCAACTACGTAACAACATCAGTATAAGTGAGTGTGGAGTTTGTTACCTGTTTATATTCTGTAGCTTGTTTTTTTATGGAAGTCCATAAACTCAATGATCCATTCATGTTCATAGACAATAATGAAACAGACCCGTGGATGGGTAGCAAGGGCAATATTTGGGAATTTAGATTAAGCAGGAAAAATCTTGAATAGTTTTGTTTGGTCAGCAAATATCTCAGTATTCCTTCTGCACTGAGGTTGATGAAATAGCAACATGAATGTCTTTTATAATGTGATACATTAACTAATACTAATTTCTGCCTTTGAAATCTTGCATAGTGACATGAGCTAGTCATCTGAAATTATTCCAAACCAACATTTATAGCAAGATTGATTGCTAAATGATTTAAATCACTAGTAAAAAGGCTTGATTTAAATCAACTCGATTTAAATCATAATTTTTAAAGAGCAACTGTCATCTCTGTCCCGCAGCAGCAGCTCCTCTGACCTGCTGTTGACTAACTGACAGTTCCAATATTGCAGAATATACAGCCTCATGCTACATAACTAAGCTCCATTTCATGCTGAATAAACTAAATTATTAATGTATCTTAAATAGAAAACTTTTTACTCCAAAACCATTTTATTAAAATAAATTTGATAAAAATAAAAAAAAAATCTGATTTAAATTTTTTAAAAATCCATTTTTTTATTTTTTTAAAAAACATCATTGAGTTTTATATACCCTGGTTTATAGTAATATTCTGTGTGCAGAATTTTTAGTTACAGATGTTTTTCTTCTTTTTAACCCTACAAAATTCTAGTATAAAGTATTAATCTGCCTAGACCAGTGATGGCTAACTTTTTTGCCATCGCGTGCCAGGAGGGGGCGGGCAGATGGGTTGTGCGCATGCATGCCCACATCCATAATTCTATGTACCCTGCCTCCACACATGTATGCACGACTCCCCTGCTCCCCCCGCTCCTGGCACGTGATGGCCCAGTAGGCCTATTTTTCTCTGTCACCTAGCTCCAGAGCCTTTCTAGGAGTCTGGGGAGGGCAAAAACAGCCTCTCCCCCCCTGGAAGCCCTCCAGAGGCCAGAAATTGCCTGTTTGCCAACTTCCGGTGGGACGTTGGATAGGCACGTGTTTTCGGCATCCAGAGGACCTCTGGGTGGGTGGGGAAGGCCATTTTTGCCCTCCCGAGACTCCTAGAGAGGCTGGGGACAGCAAAAAACGGGCCTTCCGGTCCCTCCGGAAATTGGCAAATGGGCCGTTTCTGGCCTCTGGAGGGCCTCTGGGGAGTGGGGAAGGCTGTTTTCACCCTCTCCAGACTGCTAGAAAGGCTCTGGAGCCAGGTGAGAGAGAAAAACGGGCCTTCCCCACCACCCCCTGAGGTCCTCCGAAGGCAGGAAACAACCTGTTTCCCTACTTCTGGTGGGCCTAGAAGTCCTGAAAATCAGCTGGGCGGCATGCGCACGCACACACTCCAGAGCTGAGCTCGCATCCCCACTGATATGGCTACACATGCCACCTGTGGCACACATGCCATAGGTTCGCCATCACGGGCCTAGACCATTCCAGTTTTGCATGAGTCCATTGGAGTTTGATGGCTATACTAAATTTAAGTAATGAATAAAATAAAAATATTAAAAAAATATTGTTTATGCAGATGCATAAACAAGGTGCAAAACAAAATTACATTTGTTTTTAGTACATTAATACAGAGTATGAATCCGCTTTACAACTGGTCATTAAGTGTTTCAGCGCTAGAAAGCTTTTGATATGTTTAGTGTCAGCATTCAGTTTTTAAGAGAACAAACCTATTAACCTGGCGTATTCCATTTCCAGTGTTGGATATTATTAAAGATACTTTTATTAACTTCATAGTAGAGGAAAATCTCAGTTTATTTGAAATCATGTTTACTTAAAAGAGTGGGCCAAACGCAATTCTTTTTATAGTGTAATTTATCAATTTTTTGACTCACTAGATGGACCATGTTTAGTTTTGCGGTATAAGTGAAAATGTCATCTTTTCTCTAGCTAAACGGGTAAAAGGTGTTTATATTATATGCATTTAAAAATGTTTACACTGCATGTTCTTTATGTATTTGAATCATTCCGTATGGTTCCATTCCAAAATGAACAGTGATCATTTGGTTTCTTTGAGGTGCAGCTGCTAAACTAAAGGGTGATTTGCTTAATGCATTATGGGAGAGAAATGCCCAGAAAAACAGTAATTTACTTTGCAGTTCAGGGAATGAAAATCTGTTCTTCTGTTATGGAATGTATTTTTGGATGGAGAGAAAAATCTAAAGAGGTACAACTGCTGGATCCCAGCTTCTTGAATTTGTACTTATATTAAGAAGGAAATTAGAATTCCATATGCATTATGGAATTCATTTTGTCAAGTTTATCCATGTGCTTTTCCTATGAGGAATTTGAAAGTTCCCTTCACAGACCAAGAAGCAAATAGATAATGATATTGTCACTGTTATAAAATTTGCAGGTTATATCTTTTTTTTTTTTCATTTCCCATTCACACACTCCATCTTCTTCTCTCCACTTGTGCTTTTCACGAATTGCTATTGTTCTTTGATGAGTATTTTCCTGTTCACGAGAATAGATTTTCTGTTTAATAAATGTTGGTGAGCTGAAGCCCAGATACCCATGTGCAGTAGAGTCGTTCCAGTATTGCAAGAAAAAAGTGGCACTCTTAAGTAAAGGGCTGGACTTCCATCAAAAGAATAAAAATAAAAAAGATGTGTTTGTTACATCATGAGCTCTGTCCTTTGCTTTTTGTGGTCTTTCTATATTTTGCTAAATTGAGGCTTTTGAGAAACGGCTACATTGAGAAAATTAGTGTTTGGAAATGCACTGTGCAGTGTTTCTCTCCTGATAGGTTAAAATTAGTTTCAACTTGTTGCCCTTAACATAGCACAAACCAAAGTTAAATTTTGCCAAAGTGTCAGTCGTGATTCAAGCCACTTCTTTTGACTTTTATGTATTTAATGGAATCTGTTGATTTAGATAGGCAAGATACTGTATTTTCATAATGGCATTGGGGAAATGTTCTTTTTTAGGTCTATTTTGTAAAATTTTCGATCTAACTGAAGACACAAGGTTCAGCACTGATGATATTTCTTGATTCTGCCAGGCTCATGTGTAGACTTTTGCCTCCTGCAAATGATCTTAAAACTCCTGTTTTTTTTTCTTTTTGATCGGTTACCTTTTTAACTATGTGTTGTCTGCTAGCATTCTCCATTTCTTATAGACATGCTTTTTTAGTTGACCTGAGCTTCCTGAAATTACTATGTGTCCATTTCATTGATTCCTCCTCTCTTCCTCCCTCCTCCTCCTCGTTAGCTGAAGCAATTTCAGGAAGACAATATTCAGATTTGAGTTTTCCTTAAGATTGGTTGCTTCTTCCTCAACTCTCTACACAGTTTAATAATTTGCCTCTTAAATGATAAAATATTTATTTGGGGACTGAAAGACAAAAGGTGCTATTGTTCAGTTTCCCAGATTAATATTCCAACTTTTCTTTTGATTACTTTGTTTTGTATCCCTATATATAAAGAACAGGAAGTCCTACACCACTTACAGAAATTGTTCTCCTTTTCATGTTCTGCAGGTAACCTTAGGTGGGACCTTTATTGGCATTGGACGCAAAACTCCAGATTGCCAAGGGAACACCAAATATTTCCGCTGCAAGTTCTGCAATTTCACCTACATGGGCAATTCTTCAACGGAGTTGGAACAACACTTCTTGCAGACCCATCCGAACAAGATCAAGGCCTCCCTTCCTGTCTCTGAAGGTAGCAAAGCCACAGACAGAAACTCGAACAAGTCCAGTCCTACTGTTCGATCGGGTGAGATGGGAGATTTGGTGAAATGGCAGGACAAGATCACCATCAGATGTGGAGATGACACTCCAGTTGGCTATTCGGTGCCCATCAAGCCTCTTGAATCCTCAAGACAAAACGGTACGGATGCCTCCAGTTACTACTGGTGCAAATTCTGCAGCTTTAGTTGTGAATCCTCCAGCTCTCTCAAACTGTTAGAACATTACAGCAAGCACCATGGGGGGAGCCAGGCAGGGGGCCCTCACCCAGATCGGAATGACAAGCTCTCGAGGGGGTCAGTCATTAATCACAATGACATAACCAAAAATGCAGACGGAGAGTTAGCGACAAAGAGCGAGAAGGGCTCTAGCGTGGCCAAAAAGAAAGACTTTTCCAGCTCAGGAGTGGAGGACCACGTGGTGACAAGCTACAATTGTCAGTTTTGTGATTTTAGGTACTCAAAGAGCCATGGCCCAAATGTAATAGTGGTGGGGCCTCTTCTTCGTCATTATCAGCAGCTACACAACATTCATAAATGTACTATTAAGCACTGTCAGTTTTGTCCCCGAGGCCTCTGTAGTCCAGAAAAGCACCTTGGAGAAATTACTTATCCTTTTGCTTGCAGGAAAAGTAATTGTTCCCATTGTGCTCTCTTGCTCTTGCACTTGTCCCCTGGGATGCCAGGAGGCACCAGAGTCAAGCATCAGTGTCACCAGTGCTCTTTCTCCACCCCTGATGTAGACGTTCTCCTGCTTCACTATGAAACCACACACGAAGCCCAGGTGTCTGAAGTCAAGCAAGAAGCAAATGCCCTGCAAGGGGGGGATGGACCACTGACTGTCAAAGAAAGCAAAGAACACTCGTGTACCAAATGTGACTTTGTCACTCAGGTAGAGGAGGAGATTTCTCGACACTACAGGTAAAAGTCTGTGTGTGGGCATGTTTGTGTATGAGAGCACATGTGCATTTCTTAACGTCTTCCCCATTCATGTGGTGAGTCTGGCCTAGAGTGAGGAAAGTTCAGGTGTTTACCCTATAACCCATCCCCTTTATATATAACTCAGAGATGATAATTTAGTCATAGTCCAAATAAGGGCTGTGCTATGGAGCTTTGTGGGTAAACAGCAGTGCCAATCCAAGGATGCCCGATGCAAAAGTTTATTCATTTTGCAAGCTATATCTAGATTTTATTTATTTATTTCATTGTAATTTTTTTCTATCTGCAAGGCAAGAGCCTTTGCAAGACACTTTACTTTCACAAAAGGAAACAATCTATTTATTTAAAACACCAAAGTAACAATAAACTCCCTGGTGTGTAACTTATAAAATAGAATTGGAGGCCTTAGGGCAGACTTGTGTAAATAAATCGGTCTTGTGGACTTTCTGAAAAGCTTGACAGTAAAGGGGCATAATGAGTCACAGATTCAGGTCCTTTTAGATATGAAATCCTTGTATTAGGGATTTAATCTCACATCTTTTCATCCTTTAGCTAACTAACATATATACATCTTGGAAATAAACATGTTCTTATGATCCCATGCAAAAATGAAGCCAATGACAGTAGCTTCATTTTTATAGAAAAGTAAGCCAAATTTAGAGAATTAACCAGGAACCATAAACTGCAAAGCAGTCCCTGATCTGTCAGCCAGTTGAGATGAGATACTATCTAAAAGAGTCAGTCACAAACCTTTAAACTACTATATAAATTACTGTATCACATGTAAATAAGTTAATATGCTATCAGATACTTTGGTGTTTTCTAGTTTGAAAACCGTAATGGGTTGTTGTTGGAAGGAAAGGAGAATAGGCATTTTTACCCAAACAGAGAAACTTGGAAATCATATAACTAAAACGCAAACATCAAGTTTGATGCCTTAAGAACATATTTAACATATGCAGTGAAACAATGGATATAATCAGCTCAATGTGAAATGATTTGCTTTATTATACAGTTCCCCCTTTTTCAATTCAAATGGCCCACTAGGAGGCAAATATTAGTTATTTAAGCTTTAAAGATGAATGACAGCTTTTATATTTTAGGCAGGGTTATAATATATTTTAATACGGCCAGCTTAGGAAAACATTGAAAAATTAGAATGCAAAGCATTTCTTCTATTTAAATGAAAGTTTTAATATTTAAGTGTTCTTTTTCATTTTTGTTATATCTTGGGTGATTGTGAATTGTGGTTGAAAATGTTTCCTTGATGTTTTTATTTTGTGTGTGTGTGTTTAAATTAAGGTACAGCTTCAGAAGAAATGTTTCTTTTTCTTAATTCCATGAAGCAGAAATTTAGATGGTGATGTTCAGTTTAGTTCTTTTAGTTATAAAAAAACCCTGATTGTCATATACTTCCCACTGACGTCAATGGTACATAATGCTGTTGAGAGGGGGAAAAAACATACCACTTGTTTAGGTGTCTAAATATGTTTTGGAAAGCTAAAATTGGGCTTCTGAGTTAAAAAAAAATTGGCTAGATTTCTATCAACTTTCTGGCAAAACAAACCAGTATTTATGTGCACACTTTCCCTCTCTTCTCATATGCTTACATATATTTTACTAAAAAAGCATCTGAAAACTTTTTTTGAAGGCAGTTATTCTGTACGATTTATATGGTTACTCTTCTCCTTGTTTGTTTCTCTTTATATGTAGCTAAGCTTGCTTACTTTCATTTTAGTATAAAATAGGAAACAAAATTATTTTAAGATAAATTAAATATGATAGAAAGAGTTAAGTGACTCATTTGTTGAACCAAATGATTTCTGTCTGTGTTTCTGGAAATTTTTGTGGGGTTTGAGAAACCCCACAAATTCAAATCTTTGTAGATTGCAAATAATAAAACCATAGCAAAATGAAAATTGACTGACTTGAGCAACAAAAAACAGAGGATTTTGTGAGTTTCTTCTCACACCTATGTTTTACTGACTTCAGTGGCATTTTCTCCAGGTAAATTTATTTGGTTAGTAGAAAAACGTTGGCTTTTCAAAAGTTTTTAGATTATCCTTCCCATTATCTTGAAGTATTGATGAGAATTAAAATTCAAAATTATCTCTAGAACTATAGTTTAAATATAAATGTTGAAGCTCGAAGCTGGAATCTAATGTTTAAGGTAAGGCTTGCTTAATACAGTTGGACTGAGATAAGATAGCAGTAGCAATAGCACTTAGACTTATATACCGCATCACAGTGCTAAGCACAGATGCTTAATAAAATCTTGTAATAGATTAATTAGAGAAGAAGTACTTATTATTTATGAATATCTGATAAATCAGAGTATGTACACAAGCAATGTAAACTGTGCAAGTGACATACATATTTAGATTTTTACTTATGTCTATGATTTATATGGTTACCATGTCATACATATAAGTGGCTTTGGGCAGTGTACACAATAACCGTTGTCTAAGGATAAAACACTACCTCACTCACCACCAAAAAAGAAAAAAGAAAGAAAGAAAGAAACCCCAACAATAGCAGCATAACTTACAGGAGAAAATGGCCACTATATGTAAAGTCTGTTGCATTGATGTCTGGCTGGCATTTATGCTTCACTGATTGTAGAATGCATTGCTTTATCTAGGCATGTATGAATGTGCCCAATGTTGAATTGGAACATTGAATTGGAAATGGTGTTTAAGTTCTTGTGCCTTCAGAAAGTATTCTCAATATTGTTCTGTTTCACCTTGTCAGTTGTTTCTCTGATTTTTGGCAGACTCTAGTATAAATCTGATATTTCTGATGATGATCAAGAAAGAGCTATCACCTTGCATCAGTGATGAAATCCAAATTTTTTTACTACGGTTCTGTGGGCGTGGCTTGGGCATGATATGGCTTGGTGGGTGTGGCTTGATAGGCATGGCAGAAGAAGGATACTGCAAAAATCTCCATTCCCACCCCACTCCAGGGGAAGGATACTGCAAAATCCCCATTCCCTCCCCACTCCTGGGGGAAGGATATTGCAAAATCTCTATTCCCACTCCACTCTGGGGCCAGCCAGAGGTGGCATTTGCCAGTTCTCCAAACTGCTTAAAATTTCCGCTGCTGATTCTCCATTTGGCCTCTGGATTTCAACCTGAGGCCAAAGGTATATAAGTTCCAGTTCTGTTTTTGAACAGGGCTGCTATTCTTTGCTGGGAGCTCAGTGTACATGTTAGTTGCTTTCATGCTTAATACATTTAAAACATTTCTATTAAAAAAATACTTCAAAGTGTTTTGGTTGTTTTAAGTGAGCTACACAACAACCTCTACTAGGGAGATGGCAAGAAACTGAGATGATGCATCATAATTATGTCCAAATAGATTTGAAAGGAAATATTGCAGACATTGTCTCATTTCCTCCCAAGATCAGCATATCTTGATCAGGTTAAGTTGGAGAAGGAATATTATTTTTCAGCTAGTAGTTTTATCAATAGAGCTGTGACGGCACAGTATGGAAATGTAGCATTGCAAGCTAACTCTGCCCACAGCTTGGATCCTGACCAGCTTGCGGTTGACTCAGCCTTCTATCCTTCCGAGATTGGTAAAATGAGGACCCAGATCGATGAGGAGATATACTGACATGATAAACTTCTCAGGGAGTACTGTAAAGCACTATGACCGGTATATAAGTCTAAGTACTATTGCTATTACTAAGACTTTCATATTTAATCCTAATGACAGGGTCCTTGGAAATAAACAAAAGGCTCTTATGCTTTCTTTTCTGCATTTATGTAGCAGCAGTAGCAGAAGCAGCAGGACCAGCACTGGCCTGCACTTATTTACCTGTCTGCAGTGCTGTCCACATATGTTGATTCTCACTCCTGGAGGAAGAATATTGCAAAATATCCATTCCTGCCTTGCATCCACCTTCCCTTCCTACTACTAATTTCCTTTCTCCTCCTTTTTGTGAATTCTGTTGTACGTGGCTCTTTAGGACTGGTGCTAAAGATCCCACAGCAATAACCAAATAGCTTTTTATGTTCCAAATTTAAAAACTCCTAAAAAAATGCGATGTTGTATAGCATGAATGTATAAACATAAAGCTGCATAGATGAATGAAGAAAGTAAGGAGATATTAAACAAATTGAAAATGTGATTAAGGCTATCCTGTCATTGTATGTGGTTCTGATTAAAACTTAGTTTAAATCCTGATTATTTTTAGTTTTTAATCTTTACAGAACCCCATAAACATAACAAAACAAAAATAAAGTATTGATTAATATCAGTGGCACACTACTTTATCAATATTGAAGCATATATTTTTTTCAATCAGTGTGATTCACCACTTTTTTTAAAAAAAAAAAAATTTCTACTTCTTTTTGAATACTCAGTTGAAGTTATGTAGATTGTCCTTCAATTATTTTGACAACATTAAATGTTCAATTAAAAAAGCTATAATTGTAACATAAAGCAAACATACTAAGATTTCTTGCTTCTTTGTTGCTTAGTTCTCTGCTTCCATATCTCTTGGTTCCCATACTTGCCATGTAATGCATTCTGTTCTCTATTATACATGTTAAAGCCAGGAATTCCAGTGCTGTGTCTAAGTATTGAAGATCTTTATATTTTATTTATTTATTATTAAACTTCTGTGCTGCCCATCTTGCCAAAATGACTCAGCGAATCCAACATGAACTTCTTTGGGAATGAATTGGCACAAGCTTCAAAGCTTTATTTTGCTGGTCCGAATAAAGAGACTTGACTTCACCCTGTCTGCCAAAATGGCCATACCATAGTCCACTGAGTGTCATTAAGTTGGAATCCTAAGTATAGCAACTATATTGATCAAGTACTCACCATCTTATCTTCTAATGACCGAAAAAGATCTTTCAAGATTATTCTAATTAACTCCTTGATTGTCTCCATCCACTGTCTTCCTTTTCAATTTCCCTTGGTTGTTGATGGGTCTTTTTTTAATCTATTGTCTACTTACATGCTATGCC